CTGAATTCAGGAATATAAACCACTAGATGCCAAATCTTTAGTTTAAGATCGACTCATGTTGAAATCTCAGTTGTTCACTTGTTAATGGTTTCATATCACGTAAACAGATTCATTAGTCAGCGTATTTCATCGATAAAAATCAAAATATACACCGGTTAATGACTTGTAGTACAATTTTCTCACTGTCAGGACACCAACAATTGCGCTTTGATCAATAAATATAAACATCTCTGTCCTACAAGATGTCAGTTGTGTTTACAGTAACGTAGCAGCAAATTTTCATACTGCGAAATTGACTGATATGAGTTTGAATTACACGAGGAGTATTGGTTTCTTCAAGATTGAGAGTATAACATACCGACTTGTACCAACTACTATGAAACCGGACTACACGATTTTCTGCCGACAGTCTACAAACACCGAACATTGTCTAGCTCAATTAAATTATCTCCTTAATAAAATCATCCAAAACGATGAATCTGAAATTGGCGAGACAGTGCAAACCTGACTTGCTATTTAAATATTCAACTGCGAATGCTTCTCTCCAAAAGAGCGCATTTCAAATCTGTTGGAAAGTGAGACCAAACTTCAGCACAAAATGACACGTCAAAATGTATTCAACCTCACGTAAAATTTGATCGCTCACATTGAACCATGATATGCAACCATAGTCAATATTCAGTGAAAACATACATTTGGTCAATAGTAAAATGTGTTTGTTCAGAATATCAGATGAGGATGAGTTTATCCGCCACAGTGATTGATATAAAATGGAACACAGAACGTGATGTGGATTTTATCACCAGGATGATTCACCACAGTCTCATAGACCGATGTACACAGGAAGTAATAACTAGTCGAGTCTCAAAGAACCAGGATCATCAATGCGCGATCCATAGATTGATAAACTGAGGAAGTGAGAGCTAGATGATTCTGTGAGGAAACAACCACTAAACTCATCTGAAATTAGACGGTCAATGGCTACAGTGTTTATTCATAGATGGAGCACAGCCTTCTATGAATTGACAGTCGAGAGATTTGTTTTCACTTCATTTTGTTTATAGAAAGTAGTAATCTTTTGAAAAATGATAATTTCACTCATCTTTTTTCTGAACGTGTGGCTAATTATCAAGTTATTATTAGAAATCGTTGTTTTTTTGCTCTAAATAAGATTCATATTACGCCCACTATACATAATAGATGATATAGAATAATACCAAATTATTTGATTAATGAGATGGCGTGAGGTGACTGACGACAACACAGTTATAATCATTGATATTTCTGTCAATAACTGAGGTCAACAGAAATATGTTTTTGTTAATTAAATGGTCAGATAATTTACACTGAGATTAAAGAAGTGATAATATATTTTACTTTAAATATTTGCACACAATGTAACAGAAATGATAGAATTCGGTGTAATGTTATAGTTGATCAAGGGAATCGGACAGAATTCCCAATTTTTCAAATCTTATTGCTGAATGCACAGCATTCAAAAGCCATTGCATCAGTAGGCCAACGAGAGAAAGTTGATCAAACGAGATACATTCTAAAGTTGGAACATTTCATTTGCGATTGCGTGCAACCGTTTTCGTAGTTCTGTTTTGCAGTATATTTTTGCATAATGTCGATTGTTGTGAGATAATTGTCCTCATATTGAATATAGATCAGATAGAGGCGAAAGTAATGAGTGACATTTACAAATTGTCGAGTGAAGTATGTTACTAAAATCAAGGAGAAATGAACTGTTGGGTTGGTTATCTGTGGATGCTGAGGGGGACTGTCATCTGTCAACCACGTTCGCACTCCAGTGAACGTCATTCAATGCTATGACGCTACCAACAATTACGGTCAGTCGTTGAGAAATGCCTACAAAAGACTTGACCATTCTGAAGAGTATCTCAAATGCCTAGTTTAAACTGAACAACACCGGGTATGAAGACATCATGGGACGATATGAACTAGTAGAAATATCAATGAAAGTGGTGCGAGATTTGCAAACCTATGTGCCTTCAATAAACTGGTCACAGGTGGAATTATATTCTCACACAAGCGCATCCACAAAATCACATGAACTTCACCGGATCACACAACACTAAACCAAATCGACCATCTCTGCATCAACAAAGCGTTCAGGAGGACGATGGAGGACGTGCGAACCAAGAGAGGAGCTGAAATAGCATCAGATCATCACTTGCTGATCGCCAAGATGAAATTGAAACGCAAGAAGTACTGGAAAACGGGGCAGACGATATCATAAAAGTTCAATACGGCCATTCTTCAGGATACTGACAAACTCAACAAATTCAAAATAGTCCTAAGCAATTAGTTCCAGGCCTTTCATGATCTCCTCAATAGAGAAGGACCTACTATGGAGAGCAACTCGAAGGGGATCAAAGAGGCAATCACTTCAACATGTCATGAGGTCCTGGGCCACAAGAAGCAGCATTACAAAGAATGGATCACTGTTGATACACTGGATAAGATTCAAGAAAGGAGGAACAAGAAGGCAGCAATCAATACCAGTCGAACAAGAGCAGAAAAAACCAAGGCACAAGCTGAATACACAGAAGTAAACAAACAAGTGAAGAGGTGCATCAGAACCGACAAAAGTAAATATGTGGAAGATTTAGCAACGACGGCGGAAAATGCTGTATGAAAAGAAGGAAACATGAAACAACTGTATGACACGACAAAGAAACTCTCTGGAAATCGCCGCAAACCAGAACGACCAGTGAAAAGCAAGGAAGGCAAGGTAATCACCAACATTGATGAACAACGAAACAGGTGGGTAGAACACTTCAAAGAACTTTTGAATCGACCAGCTCCACTGAACACACCCAACATCGAAGCAGCAACAACGGACCTCCCAATCAATGTTGGCCCACCAACAATTGAAGAAATCAGCATGGCCATCAAACAAATCAAGAGTGGCAAAGCAGCAGGACCGGACAACATTCCAGCAGAGGCACTAAAAGCAGACGTAGCGGTAACTGCAAGCATGCTCCACATTCTCTTCAATAAGATTTAGGATGAGGAACAGGTACCAAAAGACTGGAAAGAAGGACTTCTGATCAAAATACCGAAGAAAGATCTCAGCAACTGTGATAACTACAGATGCATCAATCTTCTCTCAATACCGGGAAAAGTCTTCAACGGGGTATTGTTAAACAGGATAAAGGACTCCGTAGACGCCCAACTTCGTGACCAACAGGCAGGATTCCGTAAGGATAGATCATGTACAAACCAAATCGCAATTCTATGGATCATAGTGGAACAATTAATTGAATGGAACTCATCGCTCTACATCAACTTCATTGACTACGGAAAAGCATTAGATAGCGTGGACAGAACAACACTATGGAAGATTCTTTGACACTACGGCGTGCCTCAGAAGATAGTCAATATCATACGGAATTCCTATGATGGATTAAACTGCAAAATCGTGCATGGAGGACAGTTGACAAAGTCGTTCGAGGTGAAGACCGGTGTTAGGCAAGGTTGCTTACTCTCACCCTTTCTCTTTCTTCTGGTGATCGACTGGATCATGAAGACGTCAACATCTCAAGGGAAAAACGGGATACAGTGGACATCTAGGATGCAGCTGGACGAAAGCCATCATCCAGAAGATACAGGTGTTTATTAACAGTTGTCTACGCAAAATACTTCAGATCCATTGGCCGGACACTATTAGCAACAACGTACTGTGGGAGAGAACAAACCAGATTTCAGCGGAGGAATAAATCAAAAAGGAACGCTGGAAGTGGATAGGACACACAATGAGGAAAGCACCCAACTGCGTCACAAGACAAGCCCTCACATGAAATCCTGAAGGTCAAAGGAAAAGAGGAAGACCAAAGAAGACATTACGCTGAGAAATGGAGATGGACATGTAAAAAATGAAAAAGAATTGGATGGAACTAGAAAAGAAGGCCCAGGACAGAGTGGGTTGGAGAATGCTGGTCAGCGGCCTATCCTCCATTCGGAGTAACAGGCGTAAGTAAGTAAGTAAGATCAAGCGAGATACATCTAAAAGTTAGGACATTTCATTTCCGAGTGCGTGCAACCGTTCTCGTAGTTCTGCTTCGCAGTTTGTTTTTGCGTAATGTCGATTTTTGTGAGATAATTGTCCTCATGTTGAATATAGATGAGATAGAGACTAAAGTAATGAGTGGCATTTATAAATTTTTGAGTGAAGTGTGTTACTAAAATCAAGGTAAAATGAACTGTTGGATTGGTTATCTGTGGATGCTGAGGGGGACTGTCATCTATCAACTACGTTTACCACGCTAAAAAGTATATTTCTTGCACTCGGTATTTAATGGAATCTTCTCAGCGAATTCTGCAAAAACAATGCATTATACAACATATCTTGGCAAACCAAGATCAGCATATTTACAACTGAGGAACATCTGGAACTCAAAGCAGCTGTCAACCAACACCAAGATCAGGAGAGAAAATGAACAAGAACTGGATGGAATTAGAAAAGAGGTTCAAGGACAGAGTGGGTTGAAGAATGCTGGTCGACGGCCTATGCTACATTAGAAGTAACGTTTGCCTGGATAAAAAGTATATTTCTTGCACTCGGTATTTAATGGAATCTTCTCAGCGAATTCTGCAAAAGCAATGCATTATACATCATATCTTGGTTGGATGATTACCCACCTAGAAGGTCCTAACATATTATCGTCATATATAAACCACCGAATTCAACTGTTCATTCGACATCTCTCACTTTTTCGATTCTGTTTAAGCGATAAGTGTATGACATTTCTATGTAGAAGAACTAGAAAGAGGCTAGAGAATCAGTATACATTATTCAATAAATGGAGTCAGTAAATAATTCATGTTAAAGAATTATACTAGACATCCACTGATGTGTATATATACACTGACAAATCAACCATGATACAGAGTTACATCCCACATCAATACACAAATATATATATATATATATATATAATATATATAAAATACAATAAAAAACTACAACTTACTTATGCCTTAGACGATAGACAACAGGAAGAGTGGCCAAAAGGAATATTCATATTCCAAGTATAGAGCCTAAGTCAACTAAAAATAAAGAAAAAAGAGCTTTTATAAATATACATTTCAAAGAAATAGAAATATTTCCTGTTCAGATATTCAGTGGACAAATGACAAACAAACAAACATGCACTAAGAACCATCAGACTTTAAACCGCATGTTTGGAACATGCTCTCTTCATTGACCAAATAAAATCGGATTGTAGTATCAACTAGCTGTGAAGTGAAGTACAAAAATATGTACTTCACATAAACAAAATAGATTGCATGCATAAAGATATTTTTATAAAACGTATAATACAATGAAGTATAAATACCTCATCGGTAAACATCTACAGATACACATGATTGATGTATAAAAACTGACCACACATCACCCCCAAATGCCCTGGTACAGCCGAGAGTGGGGAGAGTTCGCTCTCCCTCTCGAAATACTCTCACACGGCCGCGCGTATACAGCCTCTGCCAGGGAAGTCCTACTCATTGCCTCCTCGTGGCGGGGGTGTTGTTTACGAAAATGAGAGGACGAAAAGCGAATGTCCGGCGCTTTAACCGGATCCCAAACCAATGGTGCACATGGGCTCCAGTATCCTGAGGGAACAAATAGCGTATGAACCAATTTTCGGTCACCGGCTACCATGTGATTGCATCTCCTTACGATGCACCACTGCCTTGTGGGTTAGACCTTTAGGTCAAAGGCTCCGGGTGTAGACCCTAAGAAAACCAGCTGCTTCGGTCTGGGCACCCGTACAGTATCATAGCCCACACTCAGATAAAATGAAATGAAATTAATTACTGGAATTACTATTCCCATCCTCGATTAAAACTCAGGCAATTCACATTCATTTTTATTCGTTTTTTTATACTACGTCGATTACCTACAATCCTTCATTCTCACTTTCTGTATCCTAATTTTTCGACATTATTATAGTTTGATTAAAGAAGTTGCAAAGACTGTTTTTTTTAATTACTATATAGTAGTCATTATAAATAGACATTACTTACGACTTGAATGTGGATGCATTCTGTTAAAAGGTTTCTGACTACGACAAGACAATTATCATCCATTGCTTAGTGACTTTCAATCTCAACCGCCCACTCACACCCAAATAAAATCGAATTGTTGTCAGTTAACCGACAAAATAAAAATGTGATTTCAATAAAAGAGATGAATTGTAGATAGCAGAAAAACTCAATATATGCATTTCGTTCTATTCAGGGATAGCTAGTTAGCTACGTGTACCGGTATCCCAATATTGATTTTTATATTGAGACTTCAACCCAGAAATATTTTTCGTTTCATATATCCAATGCGTTGTGTACACAGCTACATAACTTCATTGGAACCACGTTATTCACTAAACGTGTTATTGAAGTTACAAGTAAATCAGTTCATCTGACTCCTTCAAGTAAGCAGAAGAAACAAGATATGTTTAAAATAATCAGATGTTTCGATTGAGATCATGAATCGATCAATATCAAACCGCCATTGAAAATCTGGAAGCACTGGACGGCTGTTTTGTCCTAGCGTGTGACCTCTCACCAGTCAGCATCCACGACCCTGCACGTAGGATTCGAACCCAGCACTGTCGGTCTGGATTAAGTCAGAATGTTTTGTGTAAAGTTCAGGTGAAATTACTGACTGTCTGCTCCAATCAAACAACGTCATGAACGCTGCTCAAGCAAGTAATCCAATAACTACAATACAAATGATTCAACTACATTAAACCACCGTTTCACTACAGTGTTACATAGCCATTCAATTATTAATACCTAAGTAGAAGTCAGATACTAATATTTCTAACTTAATTCAACACTTATGAAATGTTTCGCAAATAAGAATTATTACCAAAATACATATGTCGGTGATCAATTTTCAAGTTGGGTCTCATATTCAGTCAATACAACACCATGGAGAAAATTTCAGCCTCACAAAAACCCAAAACGTTTTCGTAACATTTACATTATTCTACATAAAGGTTAATCACAGCCCAGCAAATGAAATCTACTTAGATGAACAGACAAACATTTGCAAAAACAATAAAAATATAAATGAATTAGTGTTTTGTCGAGATCACTTTCATTTGTATTCAATATTTGCTATGGTTTGGTTCAAACTACTAATAACAAGCTCAGTAGTGATTTAATTTTTGATGAGTCCTAGTCAGAAGATGTGACTAATGCTGTTGGAGGACAATAGTGCCAAATTGTAAATTGATTGGTGTTTGATACATGTATCAATAGACCCCAAAATCAATGATCCTAACGGTTGTACATTTGTCATGATAACTGCTGGGCTGGGATTACATCTCTGGGTTTAGGGTTGTGAGTATGCACTCCTGAGAAATCTTAGACTAGTACGAAACAGTTGTCTTTCAATGCATGATTTTCAATTCTAGCCCAAATATGATTAATCTGAGACGAAAATTGCTGATAAAGTTAGTAATGTTATCAAATTTAGTAACACTCTATGAATTAAGCCAACCAAACTACAAAAAAAACACAAACAAGTCGATATTGACAAGATAATCTCCACAGTAAGTTCATATAGTGAGAGCATGATCAGTTCTAGTATTGAATATTAACAACAAGAGTTTACAAACCCTTACTGATAACTTTATCTCTGTTCAATAATTTAGTAGCTTAATTGGTAATGGATTGAATATTGATAAGGAAAGTACTGGGTTTGAGTCTAATGTACATAACAAACTGAAATGCAGGTACACACAGCTGATGAGTCTCAAATAGAGAGAAGCGCTCACCCTACATCCCACGAGCATGAGTGCTCACTGCCAAAGAGTGTCATTCCAGTACCAGACAGCTTTCTGTTGCTTCGCGGTTTTTAATGATAGTTGAACTACAATCAATTTTTCATGTGATTAATTTAAACCCAACAAATTCCACAAAACTCTAAATTAACAACTGTAATAATAACCTATAATTATTTGAATTAATATGAAGAAATATGATAGAGCTCGTGGAGATTGTTGGACATCATTGAGATGACGAACTGACTTATGTTAGATTAGTATTGAAGCTGCCCCCTAATGCCCTGGTACGGCCGAGATTGGGGAGTTTGCTCTCCCTCTCGAAATACTCTCACACGGCCGCGCGTATACAGCCTCTGCCAGGGAAGTCCTACTCATTGCCTCCTCGTGGCGGGGGTGTTGTTTACGAAAATGAGAGGACGAAAAGCGAATGTCCGGCGCTTTAACCGGATCCCGAACCAATGGTGCACATGGGCTCCAGTATCCTGAGGGAACAAATAGCGTATGAACCAATTTTCGGTCACCGGCTACCATGTGATTGCATCTCCTTACGATGCACCACTGCCTTGTGGGTTAGACCTTTAGGTCAAAGGCTCCGGGTGTAGACCCTAAGAAAACCAGCTGCTTCGGTCTGGGCACCCGTACAGTATCATAGCCCACACTCAGATAAAATGAAATGAAATTAATTACTGGAATTACTATTCCCATCCTCGATTAAAACTCAGGCAATTCACATTCATTTTTATTCGTTTTTTTATACTACGTCGATTACCTACAATCCTTCATTCTCACTTTCTGTATCCTAATTTTTCGACATTATTATAGTTTGATTAAAGAAGTTGCAAAGACTGTTTTTTTTAATTACTATATAGTAGTCATTATAAATAGACATTACTTACGACTTGAATGTGGATGCATTCTGTTAAAAGGTTTCTGACTACGACAAGACAATTATCATCCATTGCTTAGTGACTTTCAATCTCAACCGCCCACTCACACCCAAATAAAATCGAATTGTTGTCAGTTAACCGACAAAATAAAAATGTGATTTCAATAAAAGAGATGAATTGTAGATAGCAGAAAAACTCAATATATGCATTTCGTTCTATTCAGGGATAGCTAGTTAGCTACGTGTACCGGTATCCCAATATTGATTTTTATATTGAGACTTCAACCCAGAAATATTTTTCGTTTCATATATCCAATGCGTTGTGTACACAGCTACATAACTTCATTGGAACCACGTTATTCACTAAACGTGTTATTGAAGTTACAAGTAAATCAGTTCATCTGACTCCTTCAAGTAAGCAGAAGAAACAAGATATGTTTAAAATAATCAGATGTTTCGATTGAGATCATGAATCGATCAATATCAAACCGCCATTGAAAATCTGGAAGCACTGGACGGCTGTTTTGTCCTAGCGTGTGACTTCTCACCAGTCAGCATCCACGACCCTGCACGTAGGATTCGAACCCAGCACTGTCGGTCTGGATTAAGTCAGAATGTTTTGTGTAAAGTTCGGGTGAAATTACTGACTGTCTGCTCCAATCAAACAACGTCATGAACGCTGCTCAAGCAAGTAATCCAATAATTGCAATACAAATGATTCAACTACATTAAACCACTGTTTCACTACAGTGTTACATAGCCATTCAATTATTAATACCTAAGTAGAAGTCAGATACTAATATTTCTAACTTAATTCAACACTTATGAAATGTTTCGCAAATAAGAATTATTACCAAAATACATATGTCGGTGATCAATTTTCAAGTTGGGTCTCATATTCAGTCAATACAACACCATGGAGAAAATTTCAGCCTCACAAAAACCCAAAACGTATTCGTAACATTTACATTATTCTACATAAAGGTTAATCACAGCCCAGCAAATGAAATCTACTTAGATGAACAGACAAACATTTGCAAAAACAATAAAAATATAAATGAATTAGTGTTTTGTCGAGATCACTTTCATTTGTATTCAATATTTGCTATGGTTTGGTTCAAACTACTAATAACAAGCTCAGTAGTGATTTAATTTTTGATGAGTCCTAGTCAGAAGATGTGACTAATGCTGTTGGAGGACAATAGTGCCAAATTGTAAATTGATTGGTGTTTGATACATGTATCAATAGACCCCAAAATCAATGATCCTAACGGTTGTACATTCGTCATGATAACTGCTGGGCTGGGATTACATCTCTGGGTTTAGGGTTGTGAGTATGCACTCCTGAGAAATCTTAGACTAGTACGAAACAGTTGTCTTTCAATGCATGATTTTCAATTCTAGCCCAAATATGATTAATCTGAGACGAAAATTGCTGATAAAGTTAGTAATGTTATCAAATTTAGTAACACTCTATGAATTAAGCCAACCAAACTACAAAAAAAACACAAACAAGTCGATATTGACAAGATAATCTCCACAGTAAGTTCATATAGTGAGAGCATGATCAGTTCTAGTACTGAATATTAACAACAGGAGTTTACAAACCCTTACTGATAACTTTATTTCTGTTCAATAATTTAGTAGCTTAATTGGTAATGGATTGAATATTGATAAGGAAAGTACTGGGTTTGAGTCTAATGTACATAACAAACTGAAATGCAGGTACACACAGCTGATGAGTCTCAAATAGAGAGAAGCGCTCACCCTACATCCCACGAGCATGAGTGCTCACTGCCAAAGAGTGTCATTCCAGTACCAGACAGCTTTCTGTTGCTTCGCGGTTTTTAATGATAGTTGAACTACAATCAATTTTTCATGTGATTAATTTAAACCCAACAAATTCCACAAAACTCTAAATTAACAACTGTAATAATAACCTATAATTATTTGAATTAATATGAAGAAATATGATAGAGCTCGTGGAGATTGTTGGACATCATTGAGATGACGAACTGACTTATGTTAGATTAGTATTGAAGCTGCCCCCTAATGCCCTGGTACGGCCGAGATTGGGGAGTTTGCTCTCCCTCTCGAAATACTCTCACACGGCCGCGCGTATACAGCCTCTGCCAGGGAAGTCCTACTCATTGCCTCCTCGTGGCGGGGGTGTTGTTTACGAAAATGAGAGGACGAAAAGCGAATGTCCGGCGCTTTAACCGGATCCCGAACCAATGGTGCACATGGGCTCCAGTATCCTGAGGGAACAAATAGCGTATGAACCAATTTTCGGTCACCGGCTACCATGGGATTGCATCTCCTTACGATGCACCACTGCCTTGTGGGTTAGACCTTTAGGTCAAAGGC